TATCCTTTGGTTTTAATTTGTATTCTAGAAATGTAGTCAAATTTACCAGTCTTCCCTTTAATGCATATGTACTTTGAGCCATTTTTGCCTCCATTCTCAAACACTGAGGGAGTTCAAGGCTGTAAAATATGTCAGGGTTTGTGGGGTAATTGCCACTTGGCTGTCAATCTGACTAGTCAGGACTGGATCCAGTTAACATATTAAGCATGACTAATTCCAGGTACAATGTTGCAGCCTATGCTTCTGCTCTCATCTTGCCCTCTGCCTATGTTTGTAACTAACCACAATCCTCTCTCCTCAGAAGCCCAATCCAGTGTGCCAGCAAAAGCCTCAATGCATCAATTTCACTCAGCAGTTAAATTCCAGGGTTTGTGTGGGGAATTTTTTCACTTCCTCCTTGTATGATCTCAGGCAAATTATTCAATGCTTCTAATGAAGATAACACCTCCAAGTAGCATAACAGAGGGAACTTGCCAGCACAGGACTTGGCATATAATCAGTGCTCAATACATTAGTCTATTAAAGGAAAGAATCTTTAATCCCCAAGTGATAAGACTGTATGCAAATGGGAAATGTGATTACTGTAGAAACAATTCTACTGGAAGTGAAACTGTACTGTATTTTGTGAGCACACACACAGAGGGTAAACTTTGCTAAGCAAGCAATGTGGGTATTCTAGATGTGCCAACTGAATACAGCCTACTGATGAATGCTAGGGAAACTCAAAACAGAAGGCATTTGGAGTTGGCTTTAAAAGAAAAAAAAAGTGGGAATCAAGCTTTACACCTGTCCAAAAACATGTACGTTTCTAGGCAACACTCTGCTCTCAACACTCCATCCCACACAGGCTTGTTCTGTCCTACCACAGGGTCCTTGCTAAGAGCTCCAGTGGTGAGAAGAGCTCCATCAGTCCTGAGCAGGTCCTCTAGCTTAGTCTCCAGCTCAGCACTGTGTGCCCCAAGGGCTTGGACCGCCAGTTAGGAATCTAAAACTGTAAATCCCTTTAAAGTGAAAATACTTTTAACACTGATTGATGGCTAGTAGGGAACATTGGTTTCATGTGGCATGAGAAACGTAACAAATTCCTAGAGGGGTGACAATGTTTTGAATTTTAATGGGTTTTCAGGGCTTGTTTTAAGGCGCTTCTTAAAAACCATGAGGTTCACCCAAAATAGGTGCATTTCATTATATGTGTTACACTATAACTTGGAAATCCCAATCAATATCCATGTTGGAGTATCAATATACTGTTTGAAATGGATTGAGAAGGATTGACTGCAATGGATGAAAAATTAGATGTTAATACAAAATTCAGGTGGTAAATATGTGTCTATAAAAGTCAACATTTTACAAAACATTGAAAACGTTATTCAATGTCTTTGTTATAAACAAATTGCTCTATGTAAGTGCAATGCAATCATGACATCTAGGCAGGAATGCCTTCTACTTTCTCCTGGGCCACTGACCTTATTCTCTAGCCCAAACATTAACCCACAAATCCCTCTTCTACAACTTTCCTAAGCAGGTCCAGGACCCTCTTGGGTAGAATGAAACATGTTCAATTTGACCAGTTGGTAATGTCAGTGCCTCCAAGCCTACTTTTCAACTCCTCTTCCCATGAGTTGAGTTGAACAGGAAGGGGTTTTTGTTTTTAACTTAATAGCCAGGGTGGAAAGGCTGATTTTAACTGGATCTATAGGTAAGTGAGCCTATCACAGTAGTTCTGCTTTTAGGTTGGGTAGTTCTGGGCCAGCCCTGGACCACAGTAAGCCATCCTCTCAGAAGAGATCTGATCTTAGCTTGTATGTAATTTGAGTGATTCTATTTAAATCTAATTTAAAATTTCAAGCATTCCTATGTAGAGGGCCCAATTATCTCTATTCTGTAACATTCACTCCAGCCAGTAATTCTGTGCTCTAGAGAAGCATCCTTCAAAATACACTTTTTCCTATTCAATACAATTTCTGTTCTAGATTTACAGAAAAGGAACTGAGGAAACACGCAGTGCTCAAAACAAGCTGTCTTTCTGTGAAAGGGGGATGGCAAGGACAGGAAGGAGACAAACATCTCCCAAATGTTTCACGCAGGTCTTTCTGACCTGGCTCCTTCCAGAGGGGCAATCCACACTTCTTCCAAAAAGCTTTGTGGCTGTTATTTAAAGCTTGAGTTTTTACCAAACATGTATTGAAGGTTACTCCATAGACAGTCTGTGAACAAGAAAGCTAGCCTAGCTTGAATCCAGTTGGGAATTAATTTTAAATACAATGATCTTTAATTTTAGCTGGAAAGGCTAAGCAGAGAACTTTTAAAGCCTACCAATAGCCCTTCAGTGTGTGTCAATGTCAGCATAGTAACTTACTAAGATCAGCAATGAAATGCTGCCTCACCCTCAATGCTCAAGGTACTTGTAGAAATGTTAAATATTACACTGAAAAAAAAAAATATTTTTGGTAGTATTTTCAGGTCTAATGTTATCATGGGAAAACACTTATTAGTAACTTAATGGGCTTGCTTTTGAATATATACTTGTAGAAATATCAAGTCATTGTTCATTCAGAAACCTGGAATAATGGGGCGATAGCCTGAAATTCAAATCCTAGCATTTTCCCAATAAAGCAAACTTTGAGGCATCTATAGAACTTAAATATAGCTACAAAGCTTCTTCCTTGGGGTGTGACACAATAGTTCTCAAAGGTCACAATTAGGTATCAGCAGAAGCATGCCTGAAGTGGCACCCATTAAAACTGCAGTGTGAACTGTGCGACTGTTTAATGACTCCCACTTAAAATCACCATCTAGGGCCTCAGCATATGAGGGTGTCACAAGCAATCTCTGCCCTAACCTCCTACCATCCTTGTACTAGAAAATCACTGGGACCATGGTCCTTATCTACTAGAATAATGGGACTTTCAGCAGTTGAGACAGGGAAGTAAAAATTAGGCTTAAACAGAGAGGCGAGGGATCACAGTGATGTCAGAGCTTGGCACATGCTTGTTTGGAAAAGCGTTGTGTGGCTTCCAGTGCTTCTCAGTCATCACTACAACCTCAAGAGTCACACACAGCCTAAAATGGCTTCAAGCAAACAGCCATTACTCTAATGATACCCAAGATGGGAAGCATTTCAGCTACTGCACTGACATGTAGCTGCTTCTGTAAGTGGAAACTAGTAACTGTGGTGCTCCTTCAGACCATTGGACGAGACCATCCTGTATATAATCTCAGTTTACAAAACAAAGGGCTAGTTAACCTTCAACCATACTTTAAAACTAACACCAAGTTACTAAGACTACGGAGAAAAAGCTAAAAGGGAGTTAGTAGAGTACGGAAAACCTAAATGCTTCTGTGAAGTCACACCAGCTTGGCCATCTTTTCACTTTCTAACCTGTGGCAACTCCCTGTATATCCGGCCAGACTAAAGGGACAAGCTGGCCTGATCAAATGTTATCATTCCACTCCAGAACTGTCCCTAGAAACATTAATGGGGACCCAATCCTAGAAATGCATTTCTACACTACATGATTTTTGTTTCACTGGGTCTTGTTGAAGTTTATGTCAACGTTGATAGCTGAAGGCACCAGAGAGAAGGAACGTTGACACTTTCTTCCATAACTTCTTGATGAGTGGTATCCAAGCAGACTGGGAAGGCAATTAGTCATTTCTGTTTGGATGTCACTTTGCTTTGTTTTGGAAGTTTTCCTTAAGAAAAAAGAAACTTGTTAATAAGGCAAACCACAGAACATGCTAAATTACATAGGCCATGGTCTATGTAATCTCAGTATCTTTAAAATACATTGATACTTCCCCACTGAGCTCAGCATCTCCACTATGAACACTCTGACCATATAACAAGGACTGATCATTCACCAGAGCTTGCTGGCATCCCTTCCTCAAAGGAGTTCCACTGCTCCTTTTCCTAATCACAACTTGCCTAGCATCATAGGTAAGAAGAAAGCCAAGTCAGAACTAAGGGCCCAGCAATCCATACCTTACCATACTTAAATATGTTCAAGTTCAAATCCTTTAGAATTACCTGTAACACCACATCCTTCTACAAATAAAAGTACTGTTGTTCCTATCTCTTAGAATTTCAACATTAGTGTGTACTTTATTTTTATTGAAAACATCTGTAATCACAAAACACAAACTATTTTAACTCTTAGGTAACTTTTTTGAAGCATTTAGTAATGCAAACCAAAAAAAAAAAAAAAAAAAAAAAAAAAAAAAAACCATTAATCACAAAACCAAATAGCTATAATTATTAATGTATGAACAAATGACCTGCAATTCCTCAAATATTATAATAATCTCCACACAGAGCCTAATGCAGTGTAAACTGAAAATCTGTTAGTTGTAAATAGAACAATATCTGGCACAGATTATATCCAAATGCTACAGAATTTGAACAGAAACTTACTTATTGTACAATGTGAGGTGAAGAGAAATGGCAGGTACAGAGTTAGCCAGGCTGAAGCAGATGCAGCTTCAAGAAACTCAACTGGACTCTCCATGCTTGGGGAAAACGAGTAAGTGGCTGTGCCATAGGTAGACCAAGACATTTACTCAAGAGGTAATATTTAAGGAGACAAACTAACAATGAAAATATCTACCAATTACCCACCCTGCAGTGAAGAGAAGTACCAGGACACACAAACCTTTCTAATAGAGGTATATACTTGAGCCATTTATCTTTTGCTAGTAAAGCTATATGATTTGTGTTCAGAAACTAAAACACTTAAGCACTCAAGAAGCAGAAGACAGGTGGATCTCTGTGAGTTGGAGGCCAGCCTGGTCTACAAAACAAGTTCCAGGTCAGGCTCCAAAGCTACAGAGAAGCCATCTCGAAAAGAAAAAAGAAAAAAGAAGAAACTAAAGCACATACACTCCCCTAAAAGAATAGCAGTACCTCTCCTTATGCCAAGATTTTTACTTCTACCTGGCAACCTATAACAGGTTGTCACATGGCTATAAGAATTTAATATGAATTGTATTTGCTACAATAATCTACCACAAGTGTTTTCTTTTGTTTTTTAATAATCAGATCAGCCTGGTGTGGTAGTGCACAACTTTAACTCCAACACCTGGGAGACAGAGACAGAGGCAGGAAGAGCTAGAGTTCAAAGGCCCACCTGGTCTACATGACAAGTTCCAACCCAGCCAGGTCTTTAGAGAAAAACCCAGTCTCAAAAAGACAATTAGATCGCTATCCAGTGTGGTATTGTAACTCCCTCCAAATACACCAATATTTAACATGGTTGTTTCAAAAATAACACATTGTAAATTTTTCTTCAGTGTAATCTTCAATGTTTATAACAAATGTTAAGAGCATTATCTTACAGTTTTCTTCTAAAAATTACTTGTTATATTACACATTTTATTGCATAATTCTGATAGTCTAGTTTTCTGGTAATTAAACAAGAATGTAGGCTGCTTCTGTCCTTGAACAATCTCAATGGCAGGCCAGTCACTCTAGAAGACAGTCATCCCTGGATCACTCAAAGCGCTGTCAGCATGGGCCTGGCTTGTGCCTGGAGCCGCTATCACTTCTGATGGCCACTTCCCAGTTTAAGACAAAAAAAACATTTCCCATGAAACGTTATAGCTAACATTACAAAATATATGCAGAAGACTCACAGAGGCTATAAAGCTGGTGTCATCAGTAGCTCACCCTTGAAACAGGGACAGGTTTTCAAGTGATACCCAGTAAGTTCTTGCTCTAAAAATAAATGTTCCCGCTTTCAGAGTTCCTATTCTTCAATAGGATGGAACTGAGCAGCTCAACATTGTGCAGTAAAAACCAACCATTCTTCTTAATAAACCCAAAATGTAAAAGGAAACCCGTAAGAGACAAACTTTTCACAGTTAACAATAAATAAAAGTGCACTAAGTGTTCAAGTAGGGCACGTAGTTTAAAAACTACATGTGTCTCTTTGGCTTAGGTCATCTTTTAAAGGCTCTCCTCGGATCCCTGGCATTACTTATTGTAGTCATGACTGTTTGACTACTACGAGCTCCTGGAAACTGTGGATTGATGGGTTCCCGGCCATTGCTTCTACCAGTATATGGAACATATCCCCTTGATTCAAGTCCAGTCTGGACACCATTTCCTAAGAAGAATACAAAAATTACCATTTTTAGAAGTAGTCTATATTATGCTATAGAAACAGTCATTTAAAGTTCCTATATACACTGTAAATGCTTATAATTATCATGGAAAACAAGCACCTTTATTCCATAATGAAAAAAGATGTAGGCTCTGGGGCTCTGCATCAGCTTTACTAAATACATTACCTTGGTACTGAATGAATATAAAGAGAATCTAACTTGAGCAATAAAATTGGAAATAGAATATAAAAAAAAGTAATTGCCTATACTGAAAAAAAGGGAGGGGCAGAGATGTTTGAGTATTGGTGTTTGACTCATACAATTCATGTTTCAATGTAATCAAACTATTGGCAGACAGATTTTCCACATGAGCTGGTTACAAATGTCTTCAGCTACCCTAATCAACTCCAATCACAGAAAGATGCATCTCACAAGACATCCTCAGTTACTTAAAGACAGAAGACCTTTTAAATAGGACTTCAAGGGTCCCTGGGAAGGTCTGAGGAAGACAGCTGCTCTTTGTTAAAGTATTGACTACTATTCTATGGCACCATTTGCCTGGACAGATTCCAGTGTCAAAACAGCCAGTAATTCCTCATATATTATACATAACCACTATATCATAAACATTTGTAAAAAACAGACAAATAAAAGATCTCGTCAGAGGGTCTTTTATTAGTCTTAGTCTTACTAATCAATGATCAGCATAATGGGCCCCAGTGTTAATACAGAATGTGCTCAATACATTGGCCTGGGCAAGTATCTTCTAACTCCTATAAAGTCATTTATTTGGGTATCCTTGTTTACTGGAGTTCCTGTTTAATAGTAAATTATACTTGAAAAGATTATTTTCCTTTACATTTTTCATAATATCCATAATGTTTACATGTCATCACAAATACGGGGAAAAGTCTTACCAACTGGCCCAAATGTACTGGTGCTCACTTTATCCTTCTCATTTTGTACCTGAAAAAAGTGTAAGTTAGACAGATGAAGACAGAAGTAACTCATGTATAAAATAATTCAATTTTAAGGCTTTAACATGGATTAACAATATTTAAAGATTTGTCTACATCCAGCCAATGTTAAAGCATTCAGAAATCTTTCCCCAAAAGCTTCTTAATAGCTTTTATTAATTACACCCACTATTTCCTGATACTATCTTTATTCTGCAAAACTAAATAGCACGTATTATCTACTATCAAAAAGTATATACAGACTCACAGAACCTATGTAATAAAGGCACCTTAAAGATTTTTTATTCAAGACAGGGTCTCATATACCCCAAGTTGGCTTCAAACTAGCTACATAGCCCAGGATGACTTTGAACTTCTAAGACCCTGCCTCCTCCACCTGAGAAATAGGACTTCAGACATGCACTACCAATGCCAGTCTTACGAAGTACTGAGGGGCTGAGCCCAGGACTTCATGCATACTGTAAGGCAAGCAGTCTATCAGTTGTGACCTATATCCCTAGTCCTCAAGATCATTTCCCTTATACTCTGGACATGAGAGGTATAGCCTGATAGTAGTAAAGAGTCAACTTAAGCCGGGCGGTGGCTTTAGTCCCAGCACTCTGGAAGCAGAGGCAGGTGGATATATGTGAGTTCAAGACCAGCCTGGTCTACAAGAGCTAGTTCCAGGACAGCCTCCAAACTCCAAAACCACAGAGAAAACCTGTCTCAAAAAACCAAAAAACAAACAAAAAAAAAAAAAAAAAAAAAAACAAAACAAAAAAAAGCAAAAATCAAACAAATAAAAAAAAAAAAAAAAGAGTAAACTTAACCAATCATAAAAATATGCCATGTATTTGGATTAATTACCGCTTTGTTCTGCTGCCCTCTATAATCTGGGTTTGGCTCACTGAAATTTGGCACTTCTGAATACACCATACAAAACCTAAAAGTAAGTAAAGGACAAGTTAAATGATTTCTGAAGCTCTTTTGTAAAACTTCCTTAACTTACAAGAATGAAAACCTTAAATGTCAAAGAATTATCTTTACAGTAGCTTGCTAATTCATTTGTAACAAAAATTTCCTAAATAGCTATATCCTATATTAACACCCAACTATTTGATTCTCTCATTGAATCCCTTTTGATCAATCACTGTGTATCTGCAAAAACAATCAAAGGTATAAAGAATAAATTCTAGATGATTAAGACAGGCTAGCAAGCCACCACTTCATCCCAGGGATCCTTGTAATTGACAACACAACTTGATCTCTGTTCACACATCAGTATTTTCTTAGCTCTTCAACTATAAACTACATTCAGTTTGGGAAAATCTTAAATTGAGCCTGACAAGGAATAGCCATGAGCAAATGACTTGGAATGGTTGTCACCTAGCTGCCCTTCATTACTGCAGCATCTCTGTATATAGATAGGATCATCAAGCCAGATCCTGTAACCCTGACCAAACGCTTCATAACACATGACTCTAAAGGGCCCCACTGGAGCTACTCTCAAGGCAGCTGAATACTGACAGTGTTTAAACCAGTTACCTACCTACAGCATGAAACCAAGTTTCCAAAGGCCAAGTGGGTATTTTTTATACTTACCAATTATTCTGCAGACATTATTTGAAACTTAAACATACTAATGTATTTTAATACTTACTCCCCGATTTTTTGAAGTTCACCACCTCTTCCAGTATAAAGTGTCAGGCATCCTTTCCACATTGATGCATACCTAGAGGAAAAATAAATCAGGTTTTCAGAAGAATGCATAGCTCTAATTTTTCAGTGTATTTTTTATTAGGTATGAGTGCAAATCAACCCATCTACCTCTCATGTCAAGTCAAATACAATCCATGTAACTCTAATAAAAAATAACACAAAGAAAATTCTACTGCCACATTATGAAATAATCGTTTCAATTATAACCCTAAGAAAACAATTTTGAGTACTACTGGTGAATGGCCCAGGCCTTTCTTGTACATACTAGGCAGCCACTAGGCTATATCCTGGATCTTGTTTTTAAGCCTTACATTTAGGCATCTCCCTAAGTCGCCCAGGTTGGTTTTGAACTTGCTCTGTAGCTGAGTAGCCCCCAACTTTGCCATCTTCCTGTCTCAGCCTCAGGAGGAACTGCTATGTCAGCCACGGGCTCCTATGCCTAGCTTGAGAAAAACTTAACCAGTCATGGTGACACATTTTGAATCCCAGCACTGAGAAGGCTGAAACAGGAAGAACTCATATGTGAGGCCAGACTCCAGGAGGACACTGGAGGGGAGAGAAGTGGTGTTTTGGTAAAGCATGCACTGCTGTTCCTAAAAGTGTTTGTGGATAACAAAGTGGGAGCTGCTTTTCTGTCAGTGAAGAACTGCTCATTGGTTAAAGTTTCTCTAAACTATTTTTTAGAGAAAATGTTACTTTCCCAATGAACTGTTGGGCTACAATTTAAATAATTTTAAAACACAGACCCCCTAATTCCAACAGAAGAAATACCTGTAAAATTCTCTACATTGCACATTTACAGGAAAGCACACTTAAGACAGACCTCTGCGTAACTTAGGAGGAGGGAGGGGAAAGCAAGACCCACCTAAGTCAACAGAAGAGTTAAAGTACATTCTGAGGAGCTTCTGATAGCAGAAATTCAGTATTTGTATTGCCTTCCAGCCACAAGGTATAAGGCTACAACACACTAGTGTTTTCTCTCACTCATTGGCATGGTCATGGGAGACAGCCATTTTACTTCCACTTCTGCAGACAGTTCCCAAGCGCATCAAAATCTGGCAAAACTATCAAAAAAGACCACTAATCTCCCTCTTGCCGGCCTTTCCAAATTTTGCAACTTTTAGTTTCAACATAATGGAACCAATTGTTTATTTTAAATGTAGATGACATCATTATTAAATCTATAAACTAATCAGCTTAGCAGAATCAGGCTGGAAGTCTGGTTTTTCAATGTTTCTTTGTACAACCACCAAGGTAACTTCATGGATTATAACATATATTTTATTATTATTATATTCCTCACCAAAGGAGGGATTCTATTTTGTAGAAGCTAAAGGCATTGAAGTTACAAAGATGGAATTTAGTGTCACAATGACTCAGTGTTTGAGAATAAGATGGCTAAGTCCTGACTCTCACTCACTTCCTGCTTTGATGATACCTTACCTCACTTCCTGAAAATGTTGTAAGGCCTGTGTGATAGTATCAAAGAGCTCCTGCCCAGAGGACTCAATACTACTTCTCTGAGATTCTCTTAGCCAACAGCAATAGCTAACTTTTTTCTGGTTGCTACCAATAAAATTATTACAGTTCTCCTAATCACATAAGCTTCCACAATTCTAAGAAGCTTTCCTGGCCTTTTCTGAAGACTAAGATTTGGTAAAAATTTCAAAAGTTGATGAAAAACAGTGATCCATCTCTATAGCCAACAGTCTGCCAACTAAATGTTCTGAATGTATCAGATGCCCTTCTGTCACTTTCTATCTTATTTGGGGGAGGGGGTGGTTATAAAACACTGATCTTACAGAAGAAATCATTTTCAAGAATGAATGTTTGAGATACTGTCTTCATCTTTTCTGAGTACAAATATGACCACAGAAAATGTCAAATGCAGGCTGGGGCTGTAATTCAGAAGGCAGAATGTTTGCCTGGCATGCAGGAGGCCTCTGGCTCATTCCCAGGGCAATTGGGTACATCCCTGTAATCCCACCACCTGGAAGTAGAGGTAGGAAGATCAGAGGTTCAAATTCACTCTCTTGGACATCTTAAAGTTAAAAAAAAAAAAAAAAAAAAAAAAAAAAGACCTGGAATACAGGAGACACTGTTTCCAAAAGGAAGGTAATGGAAAGAATGACAAATTCCATACCACCTAAATGAAGGGTACAAATAAAGTGTTGGCAGAATCTAAGGCACTAAAAAGGGAAGGAAGTGGAAGACACTACATCAAATGCATGGGCCGATTATAAAGTAGTGTGGTTACCAGCCTACTAAAAAGGCTGACTACCATACATAATTTTTTTAAAAATTAACATTTAAAATGTGAGGGGTGGAGTGAACTCCCTCCCTGGAACACTGTTAGTTGCAAAGGGCGAGCTGCTACGAACTCCACACACCAAAACAGTTCACAGCTTCTTGAAGAAGCCCACGGGTGAGCCAGGCAACTTCAGAACTTGGCAGAACCCCAGAAGTTGGCCAACCCCACACCTACCCCAATTTATGCACACCTACCCTCTGGTCAAACGAATAATATCCCCTGTCTGTATGAGCCCTCCGATCTCATCCCACACAGAAATAGTGATGCTTCCCGTTTTATCAGCTACTTTGCAGGATCTCACTTCATGGCCGTCTTTGGTTTTGGTCACGCGTCCTGTTAAGATTTAAAAACCAAAGGGGGAGGTGTGTTAGATAACGAGTCCGTTCAGGGCAGCTGTCTCACCCTCCTAGGGCTACATGTACACGACTGGCTTGTGTCCCGGGGTAGGAGCCCAGTCCGGGCTAGCGCAGCCAAGAGCACGTGGGGGCGCGGGCGGGGAAGAAGTCCGAGCGCTCCAGGGTGTGGGGCGGGCTGCGGACCCCACTTACCTATCTCCAGGACAATAAAGACGACATTTAAGTTTTTCAGTCCGGCCTTAATGTCTTTTATAAAAAGAGGAGGGTCGTTGACCCCAAACATACTGAGGCAGGTGCGGCTACGCTGCGGAGACCCGCTGGGCAAAGCTTCCCACCCTCCGGGGCCTGGAGCAGAGCCGGGGGAGCAACCTGGGGTGGGGCTAGCGACCGGGGTCAGGAAGCGCTTATTCGGGGCCGAGGAAACCAGCCCTGGAGGCACCAAGCCAAAAGAAAAAAAAAATTTTTTTGGAGGAGGGAAAAAAAAAAAAGACGCTCACAAGTTCCAAAGTCAAAAAGACGACGCACTCCGCACGAGTGGGCGGCGAGCAAAGAAGCGTGCGGACTGGCGCCCCGGCTAAGGGAAGGGGCAGCAGGGGACGGCCCTGCTCCCGTCTCGCTGTCCCTCACACAACACACGCACGCGCGCGCGCGCTCCCTCAGTCCCAGGCTCCGGGAAGGGACTGTGACAGCAAAACCTCAACGGAGGACAGCAAACGCGGACACCGCGTCCCCAGCAGCGACTGCCGAACGCGCCCTCAAGCCGGCTCTATTAGACTGCGTCCCGCCCCTTATGACGCCACGAAGCGTTGCCACGCCCTCAGGCACGCCTCTCGGGGCGGGGCGGAGCGCCGCTGCCCGGCGCAGCCGTCCTAGCTCCTCCCCTATCCGCGCAAGTCCCGCCCCCAGACCTTCCAATCCGCGCTTGGCCACACCCTCCTTCTCTCCGGCCCTCGTCGTCTTCCGGGTTTCTGATCGCCGCTTGCGGAGAGCGAGAGCGTGGGCTTTTCCTCCATGTTCCTCGGGGGCCTTCAGCCCTCCAGCCTTGCCCTTCAGCGCCGCGATCACGTGGAGCGCTGGTGTGCCAAGCCCGTTGGTAGAGCGAGTCTGCAGTTGAGAAGGAGCAGGGCTCTCGGGATCGAGGAGGGAGAGATAGGCTGCCAGGCCTGTTCCCATCCGCTAACTTCCTCCTACTTTAGACGTTGGGATCCAGAAAGAGGAGGTCGTCTCTTAAAAGATCTTCGAATAACTTATAAAAACCTCTTTTCATGCTGAAAATAACCATACATAAGTTTCACAGATGTTCCATTGCACTTGGCTTTTATATAACTAAAATGAATAAATCATACAGTGGCAACGGGGAAACCTTAAAACATAACCTGAAAGGGAGAGGTGTGAGTGAGCTTTACGGACAAACAGAGCTGGAGCTGGTGGCTAATTGTGTGGACTTTTAAATCGATAGTTCAGCTCCCATCACGGTATCTGACAGCCACTTCATTTGAACTCTCCTGGAAGGGTTTTTTGGGTTTTTGTTTTGTTTTTTGTTTGTGGGTGGGTAATGCAGGCAAAACATTCTCATAAAAGCAATACAATACTTAAATTGGATCTTATTTGAAAAGATTGATGATGAACTTTTTAAAAGTTTACATCAAGCCCTGTTAAGAAACTAGTGTGGAGGGAAGGTGAAGCACATTTTTAATCCCAGGAAAGAGGCAACCGGATTTCTGTAAGTTCAAGGTCAGCCTGCTCCACAGCAGGAGTTCCAGGCCAGCAGGCTCTACAGAAACCTTCTCTCAAAACTAATAATAATAGAACACAGTGTGGTGGGGGAGGGGCTAGCCATTCCATGAATTCTCAACCATTTGCCCCCATGAAGAGAATTAAATGGGACTGCTCAGAATTACATACGATTTCATAAAGAGCACCTGAACAGTAGGACGCCGGCCCAGCATGGATCTGGGCCAGATGGGATCCCAGAGCAGAGAGGGGAAGTGGGTAGAAGCTCTTATCCCAAACCCAGAAGCTACCTCCAATTGATAACTGCTCACAAATGACAATTCACCCACAGAGTCTCACCAGTGGTACAAAGCACTCTTAAGGCCAACACAAAACCAGCTCAGTAGCATTTTTGGAGGTTTTGTCAGGTCACGGCCTTTTTCTAACCTTCTGCGTCATTTTCAGATATATTATGGTTTCTGGTTTTGTGGGTTCCTGTGTGCAAACGTGTGTCTCAGACCGTGTGTGTTTCTTGAGCTTTTTCTCCGTTTGTTTCTTTGCTTGTTTGTTTTATCCTATTCTGATTTGTTTGTTTTATCTTATTTTATCACTATTTTCTAGATGCCTGTTTGTTTTCTAACTAGAGAAAGAGAAAGAGTGGATTTGGATGGGAGGGGAGGTGGAGAGGATAAAGGAGGAGCTGGGGAAGGGAAACTGTAATCAGAATGTATTATGTGGGGGGGGGAGCTATATTTGATAAAGGAACACCCTCCCCATAAAGAAAGCAGGCCCTGTAAAAAGCAGAAGCTAGTGCAGGCAGCTGGCCCTGCCCTTCCCCTCCCTCCCTCCCTCCCTCCCAGAACACACTCAGCTGACCCTCTCTCACTTCCTCCCCTCTTACAGACTTCCCACCCTAAAAATTGCAGCTGCCTTGAGAAACTGCAATGAGGAGCACACAGTTCAATGGAAAGCTGTAGGTTTCAGCTACTCCTAAATCAATCTCCAAAGACAAGGGCTGAGAGAAAAGAAACACTGGGTGTGACCAGGCAAGCCCTTAATCCTAGCACTAGAGGCCAAGGCAGGCCAACTGCTAACCTGATCTACATAGTGAGTTCTGGCCCAGCCAAGGTTACACTATCTCAAGAAAGTAAAATGGAGACAAGGAAGGAGATACCAAGAACTCTTTCTGGGGCAGGAGAGGGATTCAGTGGTTAAGAGTATTGGCTGTTCTCCCAGAGGAGGCCCTGGGCTTAATTTCCAGCATACACAAAGTGGCTATCCATTGCAGGCAATACATGCATGCATACTGACAAAACACCAGTACACATAACATAAATTTTAAAAACTCTTGTTGTACTATACTGAGTCCAACCATCACCTAAGTAACCATTACCTTAAGTATGTACTCTATATATGGCATTGTATATTTATGAGCACTTTATATTCAGGAGTTCTCTCAATGACATGTGTTCCATGACATCCCAATTATAGAGCTGGGTGAAGCTTATGCTTGTAAAAGTTTTCTTATGAAACAAATCTAAAATGGGATTTCTTAGTCTAAACAGATAATTGGCTTTCTTCTTCTTTTTTTTTTTTTTTTAATAATCCCCAGTGCCTAATAGGGGGTTGTATGGCAGTAGAATCTGTAGTAAAAAATATTTAGTTTCTCTTGATAAGAAACATATCCACTCCAAATGACTTGACAGATTTAGATGACCCCTCTAGGAAGGCATCACTCTACATCTCTACATGTGGAGTGGAGGCGGGGATGGGATGGGAGGGTGGAAGAGAGGGAGGGAGGAAGAGGGAACTGGGATCGATATGTAAAATAAGAAAAATAAATAAATAAAGATTAATCCAAATCATTGATATTAGCATTTAATTTAATGATGGGATAGGCAATTTGGGCTTCTATGTTACAAAACGCTTGTCTCCAGTATATCCTATCTCAATAGTTTCCTAAATTTACTATTTATGAAAAAGCAGTGGCGGCCACCCCTTTAATCCCAACTCTCGGGAGGCAGAGGCAGACAGATCTCTGTGAGTTCCAAGGCCAGCCTGGGCAACAGAGCTAGTTCCAGGACAGACTCTAAAGCTACATAAAGAAACCCTGTCTTAAAAAGAAAGAAAGAAAGAAAGAAAGAAAGAAAGAAAGAAAGAAAGAAAGAAAGAAAAGGAGAGAAAAAATAAAGGATATTATGTCCAACAGAACTAACTGGAGACAACATGCTTACTGGTTGAGCTAAATACAATAGTTTTCATAGAAAATGTTCCCAAGTCGAAAGAGCCTGGATGTGGGAGCCTTCCATGGAGTCAGTCTTACAGAAATAAGAAAATGCATAATCTGTATGGTGCAAAGAGTTGTTTTTTTGTTGTTGGTTTGGTTTGGGTTTTTTTTTTTTGTTTGTTTGTTTTCTTTTTGGTTTTTTGAGACAGGGTTTCTCTGTGTAGCCTTGGAGCCTATCCTGGCACTCACTCTGTAGACCAGCCTGGCCTTGAACTCACAGAGATCTGCCTGCCTCTGCCTCCTGAGTGCTGGGACTAAAGGCATGCACCACCCACCACTGCCAGGCTTGCAGCAAAGAGATGCTACTGTTCATGTTTCCCCCTAGTGCCCTTTGTAAAATAGAAAGAATGTAGAACAAATACAAATAATATAAAAACTCAGCAGTCAGCCAGAGAAAGAGAAAGCCTGTCTCAAAAAAAAAAAAAAAAAAAAAAAACTAACCATGTGAGATCTCCGAGCCCTTAACAAGCCCTACAAAGAGTATCAGAGTCCCTAACATGTTGGAAGTGGGTCTTATGACTGCTTAGAATTCCCACTACAAGCAGGTTTATTGGCAAAGACCTGTAATCTCTAGCTCTTAGGAAGCTGAGACAGGAGGGTTGCAAGTTCAAGGATAACCTGGTACTCTTTCAACATTTATCAGGACTCTTTCCAAAAGGAAAGGCCACAGGTTTCTGACTTACATGGTAATTTCTCTACCATAAAAACAGATACCTGTCTCTTATTTTGGAGCATTGTCAAGCTCACACATGCACACAGACACCTTCAAATCACCATGAAGATAGAGTCAATGCTGTGTATTAGTGTTCTCTACAGGAACAGACTATTAGAGTGGCTTATAGGCTGGCAATGGCTGTCTCCTGAGAGAAAGACTAAGAATCCAGTAGTTGTTAGTTTATGAGACTGTGTCTTCAAGTAGCCTTTTGTCCCAAGGAAGTAGGGATTCCAACATAAAATCTTTTATTTTGTGGATGAAATATACAGGAATGCCACCTATAGTTCCTAATGACTTCCTGTGGTCCAGTGACAATCACTAACGGTTGACAATGTTATGAAAAGGACAGTCAATCCACAATTGAACTCTCACAGTGGAACTGACATCAATATTCAACATGTTTATAAAACATTCCAGGTAATGATCAATGCACAACCAAGCCTGAAAAGCACAGGTTAAAAGATATTTTTAGAACAACAAAATTTCATTTACCTATTAGTTACCTGGGCCAGTGTTTCCTTGTACTAGTAAGTTATATTGATGAACTTCTGGGAGTGAGTTACTGAGTATGACTACATAATCAAATTCCACTTGGGGGATTTTGAAAATATATTTCCTTGTGTACTTTGTTTAGACACTAAACATAAC